GTTGGGTGGGTGCGGCCGCAGGTGGAGGGGAACACTTTTTACTCGGCGGGTGGGCGGCCAATTAAATATACGAGTTGGGGCGGCCGAAGAGGATATTTTTTACTTCTCTAAAAGTTTTAGGGAGTTGGCTAGGTGCAGTTTAGTAGAGTAAAAGTGAAAGGTTACTCGTCTAAAGCGAAAGTGAAAGTTTACTCATCTAAAGTGTTTTAGGAAAATCGGTTAGAGTTGCTCTAACACAACATGACATCTTATCCAAGCAGTACGTGACCCTAGTGCCTCTTTGATTCACGGGTTTCTCAAAACCAAGAAGAAAAACATAGGATTAAGTGGCATGTCCTTCTTGAATCCTACGTACTCCCTCCGTTCGGAATTACTTGTTACAAAAATGAATAAAAATAGATGTATCTACAACTAAAATACATCTAGATACATTCATTTCTTGGACGAGTAATTTCGAATGGAGGGAGTACAACATTATAAACAACATAATTTTTTGGTGAAATAGTGTTTGAAGGCACAGGAAAACAAAGAGAATGAGATTGATGCCACTTAGTCTTTTCCAGATTTGTTGAGAGATTTCTTCTTTTGCATCTGACGGAGTAAACACGGCAATCGAATTTTGCAAGTGAAATGCTGTTTTCTTTTTCAGTCAGTTACATTATTTCGCTCGCTCAAATAGTAGGCATACAATTGCAGATCTGCACATACTCCAATGGCCAGATTTTATGACATTATTAACTTCAGCTACCACAGCAGCTGGATTCATCTGCTGTCCTACTGGATCCACAATTCACTACAATCAATTACCATCGGTCGTGCTGTGTGTTCTTCCAGTTGGTAGCAAAGATCACATGCCATGGATGTATAGAAAGCAGGGCATTTAATCAAGAACAAGCCAAAGATATTTTTCCCCATTGGTGCAACGTTTATTCCCTGAAGGTCCCAAGTGTACATATGGTCGAATGTGCGTTAAGCAACTAAGTACTAGTATATCTTACAGGTAAAATGGAGCTTAAATTAGGAATTCTCAACCATCTTTCCGAAAACCGACAATGAAATTGTATTACAGCGATGAACTCGGAGCGGGCAGCAGGAAGTTGAGGAGAGCCTCGTTGAACCTCTTTGTGTCCTCCTCCTGCGGCATATGGCCAGTGTTCTTCAGGATCTCCAGCCTAACATTTGCACCTAGCTGCCTGCATCAATTTGCACCCATCTTTCATGTCTAAGTTACAGTAGAAGGTGACACAACTGCAACCAGATTACACAACCATGTAAAGAGTAGTAGTAAATGCTTGCTGACCTCGTCACCTGGAATGCCTTCTCTATGGGGAAGATCTGGTCATGCTCTCCCCACAGCACAAGAACTTGCTGAAAGATGGGGGCATAGATTGGGTGAAGAAGAAACTATGAGTTTACTTTGCAATTCAATTACATCAATTTGCACTTTGTTCGTTGTGCTTGTTTGTCAGGAAAGTTAGAGGATATATGTACCTGGGGGAGTGGAGTGAGCTGGAACTTGTCTTTGTTCCCCAGGGATATAGCTTTGATCAGCCCCTCCTTCTCCTCTATGTTCTCGCTGTAGAGATACTGCAGCAAAATGTTTTATTTGTGAATTTTTTTAAATGCTCCCAACTAATAGAGGCATCCATTTTATTTTATTTTGCGGGAGAGAGCCATCCATTTCTTTTGATCCAAAGTCTCTAATTAAACGTGACAACTTATTTCCCGCAAAAAAAAGTCATCCTTGACTCTTACATGTTTATTATCTGTTTCCATATCAAGATATTGACATAAAATTAGGAAAGAGTATATATTCAACAAGTAGTAATATGAAGAGTATATCTATTAAGTGTGAATGTGGCTTGAGAGTGAAAAGATTAATCTTGTACTACGATACCTGGACTATGTATTAGGTACAATATAATTGAAAGTTTGTACACAGTTTATTTTTTATGCTGCAGAACGTGATAACATGACAACAACATTGTTTATCAGACAATATATGCCTATCACGACTAAGTCAAATGAACACATGTTACATCACCTTCGTTATTTATGTAGGACTAACGACGTTACGCGCTACCTACATAATTATGCTCTTGGTGGAAGCTATGGCGAGGCCGTTGAATGAATGTTGTCTCACCACTGAATGGTTGGCGGCTCGATGGTACGTTTGGACGTCGACATGGTTGGTTGTGCATTGTCAATCGTGTGTCGTCAAGGACAGTGATTGACGTCGCTGCTAGTTCGTTGCGCGGTTATGGTAGTACTGTATTATCATATTGATACTAATAGGAGTATTATATATCGCCCTCCGTCGACAAAAACAGACATGGTTGGCTGAGTTCATCTGACAACCGACATGGACTCAGACTCTGGTGTCCTGAGTCGTTCGCTGGGGTATAGGTATAGGTCGATGGAATTCACTTGCCCGCTAGCTCCTACGCCGCCAAACCATGCGAATATCTGCGGGGATGGGAAAATAATTCAAACAGCGAAAGATGGTGGCCATTGGTCGCGTACCTGAACGAGGTCGCGGAGCAGGAAGCCCGGGATGAACCGGCGGGGGCGGTGGTAGGCGAGCTCCATGAGCCGCCGCATCTTCTCGGGGGTGCGCGGCAGCATCAGGTCCTCCACGCGCTCGGCCCCGCCGCGCGCCAGCAGGGCGCGGTCGTCGGCGTCGCCCTTGAGCAGGTCGGAGCTCGCGATCACCACCCGCTCCACGGCCTCGGCCCCCAGCAGCCTCGCCACGTGGTACGCCACGAAGCCGCCGTAGCTGGTCCCAACCACCGACACCCTGGCCGAGGGGGGCACGACCGCGCCTATGAGCTTCGCCACCGCCTCGGCCTGGTGGGCCTCGGAGCACTCGCCGTCGACCGGCGTGGGCGACGTGCGGGAACCGCCGAAGAAGAGGAGGTCAGGCACGACGAGGCGGAACCGGCGCGACAGCGGGCCCACCTGGGGCCGCCACTGCCACGTCGCCGGCGGGCCGAAGCCGTGGAGGAGGACGAGGACGGGGAGCTCCTCGCTGGCGCCGGGCGGGAAGCGCCAGCACTGCATCATGGTGGCGCCGCCGTCCAGCGGCACGGACGCCTGGACCAGGCCCGCCGCGGCGAAGCGGCGCCGGAAGTAGGCGTCCAGCAGCGGCGCGATCCCGAGCGTCGACGAAGGCATGTCGGAGACTGGAGCGTGGAGCGCGGCGCTTTCGTGGCTCGTCACGTCTGCTGGCTTGTCCCATGCGCGCGTGGTGTCGTACGTATATGTATGTCTACTCTCGATGGAGAAAAGACTATCACGGGCTGTACCAACCGCCTCATGTCTTTTCTGAGGAGTCCGGCTCAACTGCGGCAGGAATTTCTACAACAAACTTTTCCTTCCTAGACTATCTTTAAACAGTCAACTTTTTTTGATTTGGATTGCACGTTAGAAAAGGCGTTTTTTGAGGAGTATTTTTAAAAAAACTAGCACAATTTGGACAACCGTGACAAAAAACTACCACTCTAGGAACCCTAGCAAAAAACTCTTGTACCACTTTTGCTCTAATTTTTGGCAAAAAAGCTACCACTTCTGTTTAATGACCGATTGAGTAGAAATGAAGGATGATTATGACATATGTGGCCCACCCGCCAGGTCGACCGGGCACAAAGTCAACCTGCACCATTATGTTGACCATTATGACATGTGGGATCCACATGTCATTCCTAGTAAAAAAAGGCCCGCATGCACGCATGCATCGGGTGAGCACGTTCCAGTTCGTGGGTTCGGTCAAGTCGCCCGCTCAACACTCACGTAGGAGATAGAAAATCTGCCGCCGCCACGGGTAGCCGCCACCGAGCGTCGCCTCCTCCTGTCGCCAGGAGCCACTTCCAGCCGCCGTCACGACAAAGATGCATGCGAGGTGGGTACGGGATGGTGGCGGCGCCATGGTGAGGCAGCAGCCGTCGCGCATCACCTCTAGCTGTCGTTGCAGTAAAGATGCAGGAGAGGTCGGGCGCGGGATGATGGTGGCACCATGATGACGCAACACTCTTGCGCATCACCTCCACCCGCCGCCAGGGGTAGCCACCGCTGGGCCCTAATCTTTCCCTAATGATAAAGCAATTACTGCTTCTGGTCGTACGTCGTCAGAGTTTTTGCGAAAAAGCCCCTCTATTTTTTTCAAATAAACCTGCAGTCACTGTTTAAGTCGCTGAAAGTGCA